GGTTCCATAGTATGTTCCTTTTATAATAAGGTCATCTGCCTTTTTGCAAATCCGATTGATCGGCCTGTTTACAACAATTTCTGTTTGAGAAGATATCTGCAGACCCAACCTGTACATTCAGTTTGCTTTATTTAGATTCCATTTGACTGAGATTCTATTCCATTTGTTGACCACTTAGATCTCACCATTGTTCCAAATAATCGTTAGGTCCAATAATCAGGTGATCTCCAAGAATGAAATACACATGTTGTCTTGCACCAGTCTCGCTTATGACTCTTTAAAATGTAGATAAGCAATATGATGCGCTACATGTATTACAGTTAATATAACATGGTTTGCTTAGTACTGAATTTGACCTGTACATACTGACACATTTGACAGTTGATAAACTTCCCAAGTGCAAAATTTAAAAATCACTGCTTTTTCTGTGAGTTCTTGAGGTTTGGTGAAAGGTTCTTTAAAGGACAGTGATGCTGAAAGTGCAAAGTAGTTTGGAAAATTTGCTTGGTTGTGATCAAAGATATATCCTGTAAATTTCCATGAAGTTGGAATGCCACCACTAGCACCCAATATCTTATGAACAATCATAATTGGGAAATGTTGATGCTTCTGACAGCAGTGCTATTACTTACCATAAGGTGGGTCTGCCTCGAAAAATAGTCCTGAAAATTATGTCTTTAAGAGCTATAGAAGCAAGCAAGTATTTGCGTAGTTCACATTTCAAGTTTCAAAATTCCTTACCAACATTTTAAAAATATCCTTTTCCACACCTGTGACACTGCTCACTATCTTCATTCCATTTTTGGTTGTAGACTCTTCAGTTATCTTTGTACCACACTTAACTTCCTTTCCTAAAGCCCTTCGCTGTGTTGGCAAATGTGAACCTCAGCTCTGGCAATGTGTTTATCCTTGTCTTCTATAGCCACGTGAATAATAGGAGTAGGGCTGATTAGGGACCTGAAAGGAGATTTACACATGGAGGAAAGAGGCAGGGCTGAGGACTTAAATGAATACTTTGCTTCTGTAAGGAAGTAAATGCTACACAGGCCATGGTGACAGAAAAGGAAATTTGGGTTCTGAGAAAGGGTCACCAGACCCGAAACGTTAACTCTGTTTTCTCCTCCACAGATGCTGCCAGACCTGCTGAGCTTTTCCAGCAACTTTGTTTTTGTTCCTGTTATAGTCCAATAGGTTTATTTAAAGTCACAAGCTTTCAGAGCACTGCTCCTTTGTCAGGTACTGATGAGGTAGCAACACTCTGAATGTTTGTGATTTCAAAGTTGATGAGGAACAAGTGTTAGATGTGTTATTGACAGGCCTGAAATGGCAACTCTCCTGTTCCTCTGATACTGCCTGACCTGCTGTGTTCCTCCAGCTCCACACTATATGGACTCTGACTCCAGCATCTGCAGTTCTTGCTGTCTCCATATTGACAGTTAAAGTCAATTAGACACTAGGACTAGATGAGATAAAATCAAGGATATTGAGCAAAGTGAAAGGAGAAATTGTGGTGGTAGTGGCCATAATCTATCAGTCGTGCCCATACTCTGGAGAAGTGCCAGAGAATTGAAGAATTGCAGGCATTGTGCTCTTGTTCTAAAATGGTTGTCTGGATAACGCTAGTAATTGCAGACCAGTTTGACTGAGGAAGCTTTTAGAAACAATTAGTTGGGATAGAAGTAGTAGTCACTTGGGGTGGGGGGGGAAAAGATGGGTTGTTTAGCAAGAGCCAGCGTGGATTCTAAAGAGAAAAGTTTGACTAATTTTCTAGATCCTTTCTTGACAAGGAAACAGAAAGGACTGATGGGGGTAATGCTGTTGATGTCGTGTGCATGTGCTTTGGAAAGGCATTTGATACAGCAGAATTGTGAAAAAAGTTATAGCTCATGGATTAAAAGGGACAGTATCAACATTGAAACAAAATTGGCAAAGTAATAGGAAACAGTAGTGGTCAGTAGATATTTTTTAGGCTGTAGGAAAGCTTGTATTGGAGTTCTCCGGAGGTCTGTATTGGAATCCTGGCATTTTCTGATAAATATCCCTGATCTAGTGTGCTGGAGGCAATTTCAAAGTTTGTGGGTGACACAGAACTTAAGTGTTGTTAACTGTGCAGAGGATGGCGTAGAACTCCAAAAGGGCAAAGGCAAGTGGGTGAAATGGGCAGTTAGGTGGCAGATGAAGTTGAATGCACAGAAGTGCAAGGCCATGCATGTTGATCGGAAGAGCGTGAACAGAATTTAAAAAGGGAATACAGTACTTCAGGGAGAGTAAAAGCAGAAGGATCTGGGTGTACCATGCATAAATGATTTCAGGACTTGTGAAGAAAACAGTTAATAAAGCATATTAACAGAGTCTAAGAGTACAGGAGCAATGTGGTGATCCTGAACTTATTCATGACACTTGTTAAACCTTAAATGGAGTATTGGTGCCACATTGCAGGAAGCATATGAATGCATTGGAGAGAATGCAGATCGTTTTTACAAGAATAGTCTGGTGAGGATAGATTGTTGAGGCTGGGTCTGTTTTCCTTGGAGAAAAGAATGGTAAGAGAAGATATGATAGAAATTTCCAAAATCATGGGAGATCTGGATAGAATAATTGAGCAGAAAATGTACCAGCACGTGAAAGGTTGGAGAATGAGGGGTCACATATTTAAAGTGATTTGCAAATGTGGAAGTGCTGTCTCCCAACAAATGGAATGCACTGCCTGGAAGTGTGATGGAGGCAAAGTCAAATAAGACCTTCAAGGGGCAGTGGCTGATCATAGGAGTGGAAGCAATATTCAAAAGTGTGCGAAAAAGCCAGGTGAATGACATCAAGCAATAATGCTCTTTGAGGAGCCGATACCGACACAATGGGCTAAATGACCACCTCTTGCACTGCAACAATTCTGTGATTCAGTTAGGCTTGTGTCCCCTCCAGGGTCGGAAGCACATAATTTGGGTTGTCGCTTCAGTTCACTGCAGTGTTGAGAGGTGCTACCTTTAGGATGAGACATTGTCCACAGCACATCAACTTCTAAAGGGGCACAGAAGTTCCTGCCACTCTTTTCAGAGCAGGACAGCAGAGTCGTGCTGTGGTTTACTGAACAAAAATTGGCTCCCACATTTACCTACAGTGACTTGATTATGAAGAAATTTCAGGTGAGGAAGACTTTTTAGATAAATTGATTGCCAGATTGAACCCAAAGTCCTATCATCTACTTCACTTTTAAAATGATTCTGGTCTTGCCTCGTTCGTCCTCCAGGGATTCAGTGACATTGTTGATCACTGAAGAATTACTTTTTATCAATTCTAAGATTGCTTTTTAATAGCTTCAGCCTAGGATCCTTTTAGTTAAATGGCAAGAATGGGATAATTTTCAGAATTATCTGTCCCATACAGTTTGCTATCTTGTATATCTCTAAGATTGCTTCCTGGATGCATCTTGTGGAGCTGATGAACACTGGAATCTTCGGACTTTGTTTAATGCAGACCTTTAAGCCATGCCAGATCAACTGTTTTTATTGCTGTTTGCAATCCTGAATGCCTATCTTGTATCTGAGTGTCCATTGCTTAGCTGTGGTGTGACTAGAAATGTAGAGTTCAGTCACTACTTTCTCTTTTATTCTGTGTTTTGGGCTCTGTGGCAACATCCTATTGATTTTGCTGATTCTATCCTACACTGGTTAGCTATTTGAGTATTGAATTTGCGAAGATTCCCAGATCTCTCTCACTTCATTACTACCTGCTTCAACACCATTCATGAATGACATGTACTACTAATTTTTCCT